GTGCGTTTTGTAATCCGATGGCGCCATTGATTTAGAAATTCAACCAACCAAGCCTTCAATTTCACCTCCTGTTGCTGCAGAAAAGAATTTTTGTAGTCAAGAATTTTCTTTTCTTTCCAGGTCTCAGCTCATGCTCATTTATTTTTTTTTCGTCATTTATATTTCTCACACGATTCTCCCATCGTTGATTCAAAATTCGTTCAGTTTTCAAAAAAATTTCTAACATGCCCGATCACTCAAATTCAATGGTCAGACGAAAATCTGTTTCTGTGACCCACTAATGGTGCGAAATTCAAGCGAAACGTCTTATAAAGGATTTCCAAAAGGAAATTATTTTGGAATTCGACCCGTGTACGACTGGCTTAAGCCATTTCAGTCCAGGAGAGGAGCGGGTACACCTGTGCAAGACTGGAGGGGAGGAGCCGGTACACCTGTACAAGACTGGAGGGGAGGAGCCGGTACACCTGTGCAAGACTGAGGGGGAGGAGCCGGTACACCCGTGCGAGACTGAAGGGGAGGAGCCGGTACACTTGTGCGAGACTGGGGGGGAGGAACCGGTACACTTGTGCGAGAATGAAGAGGAGAAACCGTACACCTGTGCGAGACTGAGGGGGAGGAGCCGGTACACTTGTTCGAGACTGAGGGGGAGGAGCCGGTATACCTGTGCGAGACTGAGGGGGAGGAGCCGGTATACCTGTGCGAGACTGAGGGGGAGGAGCCGGTACACCTGTTCGAGACTGAGGGGGAGGAGTCGGTACACCTGTGCGAGACTGAGGGGGAGGAGCCGGTACACCCGTGTGAGACTGAGGGGGAGGAGTCGGTACACCCGTACGAGACTGAAGGGGAGGAGCCGGTACACCCCGTACGAGACTGAAGAGGAGGAGCTGGTACACCTGTGTAAGACTGAAGAGGGAAAGCCAGGGGAAGGATTTAAGGGAAAAAAAATTAGGGCCCTTTGATTCTTCTTGTACAGAATTGTATTGTAAATGTAATGTCTGCCTTCATTTTGTACAGCGCTGCGCACACTGTTGGCGCTATAGAAATCCTGTATAATAATAATGGGGCAGACGTGTTAGGTTCATTAGGAGTTAAGTGCAGGGGGCCCATTATGTCTGCCAAGAGCCACAGCTGTGTAGTATCATAAAACCTCACAACAGCTGAGTCATTAAAATTCTAGGAATAGCTGGAACTTCCAATGAAAAGAGGCCACAATCATTTCTAAAACCTTAATGTGCAGAATATGTGAAGTTTATCCCCTGCCAGCCATGGGGGGGGGGGGGGGGGTCTGTTCTGTAAAGCTGCCACAACGGAGTGAAGTGGCCCCGGACCCCAGTACCAAGTGGCACATGTAGGCGGTCAATGAGAAATGTATCATTGGTCTTTTGCTTTTGGATTTATTGCAATTTTAGGAATTTGCAGGGAAAAAAAAAAACATTTTAACAGTGCAGCTTGCCAATTCTTAGATACGGTGGCTGCATTAGTTTTCTCCTTTAGGCTACCTTTCCTTTTATTTCATCTGGTAATCCAGCCTGCAAGTCAGTTGTTTTTCAAAATCTCAAACTCTCCAGCAGAGTGTGTGGGCTTACATGGATGAAACAAACCATTTAACACTTGGCAGGGGTGGTTAAAATGATCATCAGCTTTTATTTTTGTATAACCTTTATCCCAAAAGGGAAAAAAAAAAAAAACTGTTCCTGTAACGGAGTATAAAGTGTGAGCTGGAGTTTGGCTTCAATGTGTTAGTGTATCTAAATCCACTAGCACAATTAAAGGACAAGTTCATCTTTGGAACATGTTCCATTAGTTTTTAGGGTGGAAACATGTAACATGTTCCCATAGCTGCAGCCCCCTCCCTCCCTCCCTATGACAGTATGAGGAGACTTCTTCCCATACTATGTCAGATTTGAAACCGGCGTGGCCATGCAGGGCTCCGCCCACACAACCGCTTCATTCATTCACGGACTTCCGTGAACGAATGAACTGCAAGTCACGGCAGCCTAAAGCCGGCCATACAGGGGTTGAATTCCGAAATAATTCTTTTGAAAATCTTTTCTAAGAATTTTCGTTTGAATTTCGCACCATTAGTGGGTCACAGCAATTTTTTATTTCTTTTTTGCAACAGGCACATTGTAATATTTATCACGTCTGAATTTCAAAAGTCAATTTTGAGAGATGAGAGTCAGCAATCGTCTCAAATTATTTTAGGGGGGTTGGGAAATACGAGGCTGCGTGAGAAAGAAGGAAGGTCATCCACAGAACCGGGAGATTGTGTAGTGACGGGCGGCCGTAATCTCGCATTGGAAGGGTGGGGGGGGGGGGGGGGGGGGGACGAAGAGGGCAACCCTAGAAAGTGCCATTGGTAACTGTGAAAGGGTCAGAGAAAACACTTAAAGCGGAACTTGACTCCGTCTATCAACATGGGACTATTTTTTAATCCTTATGCTGCTGACATCAGTAAAACGGATAGGAAAATATCAGATTGACTTGTTTTATACATTTCCTCAGTTACGTCCTGGTTTCTGCCTAGGCACATGATGACATACATCCCAGGAGTCTTCAGGAGAAGAGGGAGGTTTCTCAGCCCTGCCAATTCCTGACCCAAGGGCAGGTGGATTCCAGGAAGTAAAGGCTACATGAATCATCTGCTCTTACCATCAAAATGGCCACAGCAACAAATGCTAGGGGGGTGTTTTTTCCTCTCTAGTCAGACCCCCCCTCTGGGGAGCTTCTACATCGGAGATTACCCCTCTTTGGTCAAACCCCCCTCCCTACATCTGAGATTACCCCTCTGGTCAGACCTCCCCCTCATTCTACATCTGAGATTACCCCTCTCTGGTCAGACCCCCCCCCCCCCCCTTCCATCTGAGATTACCCTCTCCGGTCAAACCCCCCCTCCCACCCTTCTACATCTGAGATGACCCCCCCTTACATCTGAGATTACCCCTCCCCGGTCAGGACCCCCCCCTTCTACATCTGAGATTACCCCCTCCGGTCAGGACCCCCCCCCCCCCTTCTACATCTGAGATTACTCCCCTCCGGTCAGGACCCCCCCCCCCCTCTACATCTGAGATTACCCCTCTCCGGTCAGGACTCCCACCCTTCTACATCTGAGATTACCCCTCTCTGGTCAGACACACCCCTTGCCCTTCTCTTCACGTTTGTGGGGATGCCTAAAGTGGAACTCCGCTGTCTCAATCGACATTGACTATTTTTAATCCTTACGTTGCTAGCATTAGTAAATAGATAGGAAAGTATATCCTAATAACTCATTTTAAACTTTTTTTTTTTTTTTTTTTTTTTTTTTTAACATTTCTTCAGTCACTTCCAGGTTTCTAGCCTAGGTCAAAATGATGTTATACATCCCAGGAGTTTTTAGGAGGGGCTCTCTTAGCTAAGCACACCCTCCTGCCTGCATGCCTAAGCTAAGGGCAGATAGGTTCCAAAAAGTACATGGATGGATGGGGGAGTTTGCTTTGAATATTAAAAATGAATTAAATTGCGTTTTCAGTTTGTGATGCTCAGATGCAGTATAGTTCTGCTCTTCGAGGAGGGGGGCGTGTCTGTGATGATGGGTGTGGCCGTTACTCAGCTCTGCCAGAACAGAACACTGGAGAGAGAAGGACTGGGAGCAGCATTTTCCCTATGATAAAAAAAATTTATATTCCAGACAGTCTCATAGATCCTACCAACACTCACTGCGCTCTGATTGATGAGGGGCGGGTCTGTGATAATGGGTGTGGCCATTACTCAGCTCTGCTAGCAGAGAAAACTAGAGGGAGAAGGGCAGAAAGCAGCATTTTTCCTGAAAAGTTAATATTCCAGACAGTCATAGAACCTGCCAACACTCGAGCTCTGATTCAGGAGGGGCGTATCTGTGATAATGGGTGTGGCCATTACTCAGCTCTGCTATCAGAGAGCACTAGAGGGAGAAGGGCAGAAAGCAGCATTGTTCCTGTAAAGTTAATATTCCAGACAGTCACATAGAACCTGCCAACACTTGCTGCGCTCTGATTGATGAGGGGCGGGTCTGTGATAATGGGTGTGGCCATTACCCAGCTCTGCTATCAGAGAGCACTAGAGGGAGAAGAGAAGGAAGCAGAATTTTCCCTGTAATAAAAAAAGTTAGTCTGAACACTCACATTGAACCTGCTGACACTCACTGCGCTCGGATTGGGCCTCACAGGGGAGGGTCTGTGATGATGGGTGTGGCCATTACTCAGCTCTGCTAGCAGAGAGCACTAGAGGGAGAAGGGACGGAAGCAGCATTTTTCCTGTAATAAACAGGGTATTATTCCGGACACTCACATTTAACCTGCTGACACTCGCTGCGCTCTGATTGGACCTCATCACTTCTGTCAACACCCACATCTGCCTTAACTTTGAGAGAGGCGCTAATCCTTTTCATAATGTTCTCTGTCAGACTGATGAGTTTTAGGTCTGCTGCCATGAATTGCCCGTTACCCCATCTAATGCCTTTTTGGCATCTGATGATCGGAAGAGACAAGGGTCACATGTCCTCCTAACATGAACATACAGAAATGCCATAAATGGTACAAGAAGGCAGCGGATTACACTTAAAGAATTTTTCTTTATTGGAAATACAAAAAAAAAAAAAAAAAAAAAAAAGATACAACTTATATTAAGAATATCTGGCACTGGGATTGTACGTCATCACTGTGCGGAGGAGAGAAAATCTGCTAAAAAACATGTATAGAACATACAACCGTGGAAAATCGGAAACAGCAAAGTATAAAAAGGGAACATCACATCTAAACATGATATTCAGGCCAATATCAGAAAATATCCCTCCATGTTCCCAGGAGCACAGACAGTTCTGCTTTCTTACAACCTCATTATTTACAAACCAATCAGATTGCAGAATAAAAACAAAATCCTCTCATACAATTTTAGACACTCTCATCAGCCATCTACGCCCCCATCCCCCCCCCCCCCCCCCCCCCCCAAAGTCTATTCACAGTAGATTACATGCAATGTGGCCATCACATCATCTTCATCACTTTATTGATCCAATCCACGTACACAGAGACACGTGTGAAGACACCCGGAACATTTTTCTTTCCGCAGCCACGAGCCGGGACAATCACCCCCTCCAGCACCCAGCAGTCATGGGTCAGACAGGCCAGTGGACCTCCATAATCACCCTGAAAGAAGCAGAAGGATGATGACGACATTTTGGAATCCCCTCTTGTCGCTCCCTACACCTATTACAAGGTGATCCCACCACAAGATCCTTTTTCTCCATTTTCTTTTTCATCCATTGAGGAACACAGGAAGTCTCGAAGCTTCAAGACATTAAAGAAAAGAAAAAAAAAAAAATGCAACACCACAAACCGATGCCAACGGGCCAAAGAGGACAAAAACCAGAGACTTCCTGCAGCTCAGTTTGTGTGGGGTTGCTGTTTTTTTAAAGGTCTTGAAGCTTCAAGACTCTCTTTTTTCTTTTTCACCCATTGAGGAACACAGGAAAAGGATTTTATGGTGGGTACAAAAACTGCAACCAGATGGCCAAAGATGACAGAAAAACTGGAGATTTCCTGCAGCTCAAATAGCCACCTTCATTTAGTTTCCTGAAAGCTCCTCAGGGGTGGAGCCCTATTATTTCAAGCTCTCTATGGGTGTGAGGCATCGCCATCATGACTCCTATTTCTTAGAATCCATTGAGAGATACATGAAGTCTTTAACCTTCAGGTTATATTTCCATCTACAGGAGGATTGGACATGTGTCCCTCAATGGACTCAGGGGAGAGAAAAAAAAAAAAAGAGCATTTTATGGTGGGTGCAAAGATCCTGAGTCCATTGAGGGACACATGTCCAATTCCGATAGTGGAAATATAACCTGAAGGTTAAGAGACTTCCTGTATCTCTAGATGGATTCTAAGAAATCCAGTTATTATGGCGATTCCTCACACCCATAGAGAGCTGGAAAGAATAGCAAAGGCTCCACCCCTGAGGGCTAGCAGGAAACTAAATGGATGCTATTTGATGCAGGAAGTCTCCAGTTTCTGTCAGCTTTGGCAAGTTAGCACCTGTTTGCAGTATTTTTTTAATGTCTTGAAGCTTCATGACTTCCCGTGTTCCTCAATGGATGAAAAAGAAAATAGAGAAATGGATTTTATGGTGGGTACAAAGACCCTATTTTTTTTTTTTCATCCATTGAGGAACATGGTAAGTCATGAAGTGTCAAGACATTAAAAAACCAGCAACAGTGCAAACAGATGCTAACTGGCCAAAGATGACAGAAACTGGAGACTTCCTGCAGCTCAAATAGCCACCTGCATTTAGTTTCCTGAAAGCTCCTCAGAGGTGGAGACCTGATATTCTTTCAAGCTCTCTATGGGTGTGAGGAATCCCCATAGTGACTCCTATTTCTTAGAATCCATCAAGGGACACAGAAGTCTTTAACCTTCAGGTTATATTTCCATCTACAGGAGGATTGGACCTGTGTCCCTCAATGGACTCCGAGAAAAAAAGGAATTTATGGTGGGTACAAAGATCCTGAGTCCATTGAGAGAAACATGTCCAATCCTCCCGTAGATAGAAATACAGTCAGGTCCATAAATATTGGGACATCGACACAATTCTAACATTTTTGGCTCTATACACCACCACAATGGATTTGAAATGAAACAAACAAGATGTGCTTTAACTGCAGACTGTCAGCTTTAATTTGAGGGTATTTACATCCAAATCAGGTGAACGGTGTAGGAATTACAACAGTTTGCATATGTGCCTCCCACTTGTTAAGGGGCCAAAAGTAATCGGGACAGAATAATAATCATAAAACAAACTTTCACTTTTTAATACTTGGTTGCAAATCCTTTGCAGTCAATTACAGCCTGAAGTGTGGAACGCATAGACATCACCAGACGCTGGGTTTCATCCCTGGTGATGCTCTGCCAGGCCTCTACTGCAACTGTCTTCAGTTCCTGCTTGTTCTTGGGGCATTTTCCCTTCAGTTTTGTCTTCAGCAAGTGAAATGCTCAATCGGATTCAGGTCAGGTGATTGACTTGGCCATTGCAGAACATTCCACTTCTTTCCCTTAAAAAACTCTTTGGTTGCTTTTGCAGTCTGCTTTGGGTCATTGTCCATCTGCACTGTGAAGCGTCCAATGAGTTGTGAAGCATTTGGCTGAATATGAGCAGATAATATTCCCGAAACACTTCAGAATTCATCCGGCTGCTTTTGTCAGCAGTCACATCATCAATAAATACAAGAGAAGCAGTTCCATTGGCAGCCATACATGCCCACGCCATGACACTACCACCACCATGCTTCACTGATGAGGTGGTATGCTTAGGATCATGAGCAGTTCCTTCTCCATACTCTTCTCTTCCCATCACTCTGGTACAAGTTGATGTCGGTCTCATCTGTCCATAGGATGTTGTTCCAGAACTGTGAAGGCTTTTTTACATGTCGTTTGGCAAACTCTAATCTGGCCTTCCTGTTTTTGAGGCTCACCAATGGTTTCCATCTTGTGGTGAACCCTCTGTATTCACGCTGATGAAGTCTTCTCTTGATTGGTGACTTTGACACACATACACCTATCTCCTGGAGAGTGTTCTTGATCTGGCCAACTGTTGTGAAGGGTGTTTTCTTCACCAGGGAAAGAATTCTTCAGTCATCCACCACAGTTATTTTCCGTGGTCTTCCGGGTCTTTTGGTGTTGCTGAGCTCACCGGTGCGTTCCTTCTTTTTAAGAATGTTCCAAACAGTTGTTTTGGCCACGCCTAATGTTTTTGCTATCTCTCTAATGGGTTTGTTTTGTTTTTTCAGCCTAATAATGGCTTCACTGATAGTGACAGCTCTTTGGATCTCATCTTGAGAGTTGACAGCAACAGATTCCAAATGCAAATAGCACACTTGAAATGAACTCTGGACCTTTTATCTGCTCATTGTAATTGGGATAATGAGGGAATAACACACACTCGGCCATGGAACAGCTGAGAAGCCAATTGTCCCATTACTTTTGGTCCCTTAACAAGTGGGAGGCACATATGCAAACTGTTGTAATTCCTACACTGTTCACCTGATTTGGATGTAAATACCCTCAAATTAAAGCTGACAGTCTGCAGTTAAAGCAAATCTTGTTCATTTCATTTCAAATCCATTGTAGTGGTGTATAGAGCCAAAAATGTTAGAATTGTGTCAATGTCCCAATATTTATGGACCTGACTGTATAACCTGAAGGTTAAAGACTTAAAGTTCCCTCAATGAACTCTAAGAAATAGGAGTCTTTATGACGATTCCTCACACAGAGCTTAAAGGAATAACAGGGCTCCACCCCTGAGGAACTTTCAGGAAACTAAATGCAGATCATAATTACACTACATCATACCCAGTTTGCAGCATCTGCCTTCTACTAGACACAAAGCCAAAAAACTCTACAGCCCTAACCGAAATGCAGGATGTAGACAAAGAATAGTTCTCCTGGTGCCCAGAGTTCCACTATGGGGGGGTGGAGTTACTAAGACTGGAGCAACCAGAATCTGGTGCAACTGTGCTCAGTAGCCAATCATCTAATCTCTCAGCTTGTTAAATTAAGTATAGACAATAAAACCTGGAAACTGATTGGTTTCTTTGTAGAGCTGCACCAGATTCTTCACTCTCCACCTTTAGAAAATCAACCCCCGATGTCTCCCAGTGACCACTAAGAGAAAACGTCCAGCCTGAACCAAGACGTGATTGACCGGAGTTCCTGCTTTGTATACTCATTGGACAAGACTTGTCAGGACAGAAATCGAAAAGCTCCCATTTCTGATGATGGAGGCCCCAGGGTCGTCATCTTCATCCTGGCTGCTCAGTCTAGGGACTGTTTGCAGTTAGGGACCTTAGATTGTACACTCCTCAGGGGCGGGGACTGATGTGAATGTACAATATATATGTAAAGCGCTGCGTAAATTGATGGCGATATATAAGTACCTGAAATAAATAATAAATAAATGTGCGCACCTGGCCTGAGGTCTATGGACTGTATGCATGTATGGGCAGCACAGTGGCTAAATGGTTAGCACTTCCTCCTGGCAGTACTCGGGTTGTCGGTTCGAATCCCAACCACGGCACCACCTACTTGGAGTTTGCATGTTCTCCCTGTGCCTGTGTGGGGTTTTTTCGGGTACTCCAGTTTCCTCCCACACTCCAAAGACATGCTGGTAGGTTAATTGGCTCCTGTCTAAATTGTCCCTAGTATGTGTATGTATGAATGAATGTAAGTTAGGGACCTTAGATTGTACGCCCCTTGAGGGTTAGGGACCTTAGATTGTACGCCCCTTGAGGGTTAGGGACTGATGTGAATGTACAATATATATGTAAAGTGCTGCGTAAATTGACGGCGCTATATAAGTACCTGAAATAAATAAATGTGCATAGCTGATGTGAGGATATTTCACTGGCTGCATGCTTGTTCCAGATCGCAGACTATTTAATGAAGCCAGGAATCAGGATGATAGCCTGGAACTTCCACCTTCAAAAAGGGGGCACTCTTTATGTCTGGAGTAAAAGAAATTTAATCTCCAAACACGGAAAGGTTTCTTCACAGTAAGAGCTGTGAGAATGTGGAATAGACTCCCTCCAGAGTTGGTTGTGGCCAGCTCAGTGGATTGCTGTAGGAAAGTCCTGGATTCTTTCTTGGATACAAAGAATATAACTGGATATAACATTTATAGGGAAAGTTGATCCAGGGAATATCTGATTGCCTCTCGGGGGATCAGGAAGGAATTTTTTCCCTGCAGGAGCAGATTGGATCGTGCTTTGCTGGACTTTTTTACCTTCCTCTGGATCAACTGTGGGTGTAGGATTATAACTTTTTTTTTCTATGGTTGACCTGGATGAACTTTTGTCTTTTTTCAGCCAGACTAACTATGTAAAACCTAATCAGCCATTGCAGCTCCCATGCTACTGACAGATCCCCTTTAATTCCGTATCTCTGGTGCCTAGAACTGACCTCACAGGCTCCAAGCTCAATGGGCACTGGCCTGGTGCAGATCTCACTTTCCTGCGCACGGATCTTGGTGCTCCCCTTGTTGCATTCCTCGTTACTGATTATGTTGAAGTGGGCCACCTTGAGGACATCCTCATGCCCGGTACCTGGAGGAGAAGACACAACGTATGAGAAAAGAACGGTGTTCTACATCCCGATAGGCAGGGGCGGACTGACCGTTTGGAAACTCGGGCACTGCCCGAGGGCCCGAGGTCAGTAGAGGGCCCCATGAGATGCCCCTGGTACCTTTTTCATAGGCTTTTTTGAGTTTGGGCAAGGACACAGGGGCCCCATGATCCCCTATTGCCCGGGGGCCCCATGAATTGTCAGTCTGCCCCTGATGATAGGCCTCTCACTGGGACTGCCAGAGCCAGGAGGTGGAGAGCTCCCACTATGCCAGCCCTCCACCTCAACTACAGCATAGCTTGAGCAATAACACGCCCCCTAGGAACAGAAAGTCCTCTCTCTGCTCTCCCCTCCTGTTTAGAACTTGATCACCCACAGTGCTTCTAGCCCGTCTGATGCTATACCAGGGAAGAACAGCAAAAATGGACATCAAGAGACTCGGGTTTTTATACTAGCTGCATTTAAAAATACAGTAAAGCTGAAATTTAAATCTGGTCATATTTTGCCTTTCCTGGCTCCTCCCTCATCATTCTTCATCAACCTGCGAATGACATTTTACTCGGATTTCATTACGCGCCTTATTGCTTGGTGCTGGAGGGGCTGGCAGGTTCCTGAAATTATCACAGCACCCTTCCTTCGCACTGATCTCAAGAGACATGATGCAACAGTGTGATGGCTCTTGGGTGGAGTTATGCAAATATTAACCACTTGTCTACTGGGCACTTTCACCCTCTTCCTGCCCAGGCAAAATTTCAGCTTTAAGCGTTGTCGCACTTTGAATGACAGTTGCGCGGTCACGCAACACTGTACCCATATGAAAGTTTTATAATTTCTTTGAGACAATTAGAGCTTTCTTTTGGCAGTATTTAATCACCACTGGGCTTTTTATTTTTTGCTAAACAAACCAATAACAACTGAAATAAAAAAAAAAAAAAAAAAAAGTTTTTTCTGGTTTAACATTTTGTAAAAGGAGTAACTTTTCTCCTTCACTGATGTGCACTAATGAGGCTGCAGTAATGGGCACTGATAGGTGGCACTGATGGGCATTGCCAGGCATCACGTGAGCATTGACAGGTATCACTGATGGGCACTGAAAGGCAGCACTCATATGGCATTAATAGGTGGCACTGATTGGAACTGGTAGGAGGCACTGGTAGGTGGCACTGATGGGCATTGACAGGCATCATTGGTGGGCACTGAAAGACAGTACTTATCTATGGCACTGATAGGCAGCACTGACTGGAACTGTTAGGTGGCATTGATTGGCAGCACCGAAAGGCAGCTCAGATGGGCACCGATATGTGGCATTGATGTGCACTGACAGGTGGCATTGATGGGGCTACACTGGTCATCAGTGCCCTGATGATCAGTGTATATGTCCCCTCTGAGGAATGCCGATTACCGGCTCTCCTCTGTCAGCGTGACAGCTCGTGAGGAGAAAAAAGTACACCAGTGCAAGACTGGAGGGGAAGAGCCGGTACACCAGTGCAAGACTGGAGGGGAAGAGCCGGTACACCAGTGCAAGACTGGAGGGGAAGAGCCGGTACACCAGTGCAAGACTGGAGGGGAGGAGCCTATACACCAGTGCAAGACTGGAGGGGAAGAGCCGGTACACCAGTGCAAGACTGGAGGGGAAGAGCCGGTACACCAGTGCAAGACTGGAGGGGAAGAGCCGGTACACCAGTGCAAGACTGGAGGGGAAGAGCCGGTACACCAGTGCAAGACTGGAGGGGAAGAGCCGGTACACCAGTGCAAGACTGGAGGGGAAGAGCCGGTACACCAGTGCAAGACTGGAGGGGAAGAGCCGGTACACCAGTGCAAGACTGGAGGGGAAGAGCCGGTACACCCAGTGCAAGACTGGAGGGGAAGAGCCGGTACACCAGTGCAAGACTGGAGGGGAAGAGCCGCTACACCAGTGCAAGACTGGAGGGGAAGAGCCGCTACACCAGTGCAAGACTGGAGGGGAAGAGCCGCTACACCAGTGCAAGACTGGAGGGGAAGAGCCGCTACACCAGTGCAAGACTGGAGGGGAAGAGCCGCTACACCAGTGCAAGACTGGAGGGGAAGAGCCGCTACACCAGTGCAAGACTGGAGGGGAAGAGCCGCTACACCAGTGCAAGACTGGAGGGGAAGAGCCGCTACACCAGTGCAAGACTGGAGGGGAAGAGCCGGAACACCTGTGCAAGACTGGAGGGGAGGAGCCGGAACACCTGTGCAAGACTGGAGGGGTGGAGCCGGTACACCTGTGCAAGACTGAAGGGGAGGAGCCCGGTACACCTGTGCAAGACTGAAGGGGAGGAGCCGGTAAACCAGTGCAAGACTGAAGGGGAGGAGCCGGTACACCTGTGCAAGACTGGAGGGGAGGAGCCGGTACACCTGTGCAAGACTGAAGGGGAAGAGCCGCTACACCAGTGCAAGACTGGAGGGGAAGAGCCGCTACACCAGTGCAAGACTGGAGGGGAAGAGCCGCTACACCAGTGCAAGACTGGAGGGGAAGAGCCGCTACACCAGTGCAAGACTGGAGGGGAAGAGCCGCTACACCAGTGCAAGACTGGAGGGGAGGAGCCGCTACACCAGTGCAAGACTGGAGGGGAGGAGCCGGTACACCTGTGCAAGACTGGAGGGGAGGAGCCGGTACACCTGTGCAAGACTGGAGGGGAGGAGCCGGAACACCTGTGCAAGACTGGAGGGGAGGAGCCGGAACACCTGTGCAAGACTGGAGGGGTGGAGCCGGTACACCTGTGCAAGACTGAAGGGGAGGAGCCGGTACACCTGTGCAAGACTGAAGGGGAGGAGCCGGTAAACCAGTGCAAGACTGAAGGGGAGGAGCCGGTACACCTGTGCAAGACTGGAGGGGAGGAGCCGGTACACCTGTGCAAGACTGAAGGGGAGGAGCCGGTACACCAGTGCAAGACTGAAGGGGAGGAGCCGGTACACCAGTGCAAGACTGAAGGGGAGGAGCCGGTACAAGACCAGTGCAAGACTGAAGGGGAGGAGCCGGTACACCTGTGCAAGACTGGAGGGGAGGAGCCGGTACACCTGTGCAAGACTGGAAGGGAGGAGCCGGTACACTTGTGCAAGACTGGAGGGGAGGCCAGGAGTCAGATTTAACATTTTGGAGTATAAAACTGCATTATTTTTCCTTTTTAATGAACATTTGCTCAGAGTTCAGCATTACACAGATTCACCAATGTATAGGAAACTGTGCGATGAAAGCTAAAGCGCCCCAAACCCCAGGGAGAAATGTGTGCAATGACAGGACAATGTGGCTCACCTTGCGTGTCCCCCCAGCCTGCGATCTCACACTTGGTTTCTGGAGGCACAATATATCGCTCTGGAGGGAGACAGATCAGAGCGACCAGGGAGTTCAGGGTGACCGGCCTAGAGAGAGACAGGGGAGATCAGATTAGACAGACTGCAGACTCAGTACACAGTGACAGCAGAGCGGTGCAATCAATTATCGTCTCTGTGATTTCAGTGTGGATTAATCTTTGGCTGCGCTACTCATTGGGTCGCTACCTGGACCAAGTAAGCAGCCAATGGAATTGCTGGGCTGTAGGTTTGTTCTCGGTCAGGGAAACATTGTAAAGCTAGGGATCGGGGCAACAACAATTACAACTCCCATGTTCTTACTCTGATGAGTTTCCTTTAAGATGCTAATTAGAAAAAAAAAAAAAAAAAGTGTATAATAAAAGTGCAATATATTTCTCACCCATCCCCCCTACCTGGGGGATGACTGGTCTTCCTGCCCCAAGCTGCTCAGCATTCGAATCAAGGAGGGCGGACTGCCCACCCAAATCGCCCCATGCTGTGACTCCGCAGTAAAAGGAGCCCCACAGAGAGGAACATTGTTAGTTATTCTCCCTCAGACAATTGCTACAAATTAGTTCAGCTGGTGGAATTCTCAGCACATGAAGTTTCAGACCCAATCAAAGTGATTGAGTTCTCATTGGCTCAAGGTGGAAACCAAATCTTAAAGCACATAAAGGTTTCTGAAGACCAAAATTATGCTAGAAAACATAGTAAAAAAGGAGCCTGAATGAATGAACAGACATGCTGCTCAGTTTCCAAATCCTGGCTTTTGAAAGGTCCCAGGGCTGTCACATTCAACCTTCAACAGCTACGGTAATTTAACTATTTAATGTACATAGAATATTTTTGTTTCTGTTTATTACATCACACACGTTAACCTGAAACCCCAACCTAACTAGGAACACCAACACAATGCTCAATGCAACTACAAATCTCAACACCTAATCTAACTTGGAACCCCAACCCAACTTGGAATTCAAACATGCAAGCTAGCTAGAAAGCCCAACCCAACTCAACTAGAAACCCAAGCCCAACAGTTACACCACTGGTTGGGGTTTCCAGTTAGGTTATTTTGGTTTTCTGCTGCCCTAGGAAACACTAAAATCGGGCACGCCCCCCCTCCCCCATTTAAAATTGTAGCCAACGGAGCGAAGAGTGTATTGGAACATAAGACATATATAGATAGATAGATACCCAAATACCACCCTACCCGTAATCTTTGCTCTTCAGAAGACCTCCTACTTTCTAGCTCCCTGGTCTCCTCCTCCCATGCCCGACTGCAGGACTTCCCCAGGACTTCCCCCATCCTCTGGAACTCACTACCCCAATCCATCAGACTGTCACCTACCCTCCTCACCTTTAGGCGCACCCTGAAAACCCATCTCTTCAGGAAAGCCTACCCCACCCTCACCTAACAGTCAATCTCCTCCACTCCTCTTACCACTCCATGCCCCACAGCCACTTCCTCCTGTACCACTATCCCCTCCCTCCTAGATTGTAAGCAGAGCCCTCGAACCCCTCGTGTTCTGTTTTGTTACTGTATTGTCACATGTTCTGTCCCCCACTATAATGTACAGCGCTGAGCAAACCTTTTAGCGCTATATAAATACTGTATCATAATAATAATAAATATTATATACAAACACAGCACTACATCCATCATCAGGGGGGAGATCAATCAATGAGGATCTGATAGATTATACTTTGGCAGGAAAATGCCCCACCTACCTGCTCAGCTCACTGTCCACCCCTGGCTGACAATCTTTCATAAATCATCCCAGCCCGTGCTCCCCATCCCAAAACACATACCTATTGTGTGCCCACAAAGATAGGACTGGCGGGCCACCTCAACCTACCAGATCCCATGCACATCCTGTGAAGGCCACCAGTACCCTCCTGTCTGGAATGTCCTTCCTGCGCTTGATTCGTCACCTGAGCTGTGGCTCAGTCACCAGCCTCATAGATATCACCGCGTGCTGGGGTGAGGGGGGGGGGGGCACCACTCCCTGAAAAGTGCTGCCCTAGGCAAATGCCCTGTTTGCCTTGCAGTAAATACGCTCCTGACCCCAACCTATCACAACGTAACTAGGAGCCCCAACCCAACTAGGAACTCCATCCAATATTCAGCCTTACTAGAAACTCCAACCGAACACTCAACCTAACTAGGAGCCCCGAAACAACCCAACTAGGAACCCCAACCCACACTCAACTAGGAATCCAAACCCAACACTCAACCTAACTAGGAATACCAACCCAACTACAAGCCGCAACCCAACACTTAAAAAAAAAAAAAAAAAACACACAGACACACAACAACTTAACACCAACCCAACATTCAGCCCAACTAGAAACCCCAACCCTCAACCTAATTAGGAACCCCAATTTAATACTCAAATCAAATAGGAACTCCAACCCAACACAACTAGGAACCCAAAGCCAAAACACTCAACCCCCATCCGATACTCAACCTAACTAGAAACCCCAACCCAAAACACTCAACATAACTAAGAACCCCCCCCACCCAACTACAAACCCCAACTGAATATTCAAGCCAAGTAGGATCCCAAACCCAATGAAAACAGGAACCCAAAGCCAGCAATCATCCCAAGAACCCCAACCCAACATACTGAAGAACCCAAAGCTAACACTCAACCTAACCAGGAAACCCACCCCAGTACTCAATTCAAATACAAATTCCAACCCAACACTCCAATTATGAACCCCAACCCAACACTCAGCCTAACTATGAATCCCAAAGTCATAATCTGTTGGCGCTATATAAATCATGTATAATAATAATCTGAGCACCAACTTTTACGTTCGTGCTAAAAATGGATCTGCATTGGAGTCAACATACTCCAAGTAACCAGCGCATGAATAAAAATAGCACTAAAACTACTTTTCTCACCTCTCCAGTTTCAACATCACCAGGCTGGAGTCGGAGGGCCCACACATGATCTTACTGATTGGTACAGACTGTTTTTTTGGGTCATCGGGTTTTGGGTTGATATAGAGCGTTCCCACCATGGCGTGATATCCAGAAAGATCAGCGTCACTGCAGAAGAGAGATGGCTGAGCACTGGACAGTATGGTACTTAGAATACACTTCTGTTATACTTATCCTGCAACTTCTTACCACGAAGAAAAACACTGCCGAGTGCTGATCACCCAGTCTTCCTTCACCAAGGACCCCCCACAGAAATGGATATCTTGTCTGGATGGAGTAAAAAAAATAAATAAATAAATAAAATCATAAAGTGCCAATTTCAGCAACTATGAACTGGATTCCGGGTGGCTGCTTTCAATCTCAGCTCACCTGTTACGCAGGCTCACAGTCCACGGCGAGTTGCCTGGTGTACCACCAACTATCCGGGCTTTCTTGGGGGGAGAGTTTTCGACTCTTTTGCCACATGAGTCAAAGGCTATATTCTCTGCAGGGACACAAAGACCACCCCATCAATCACACACAATCTGCTTGTCCATTTTATCCAATCAAAGAATAATCTATATCATCCAAACAGTCCAAATCTCAATGGATAATAGTTATGGTGGAGCAGGATCAGATGAAGATTGGCGCAATGGTTGTAGCAGATTCAGGTTGGGGTTAGGGCTTCAATCAAGGCAACTCTCAGGATGGACCTCCTGGTGAAAACCTTTCATAATTGAGGATGCTGACGTGTAGGAGGGCCGAATGTAAAACATGTCTGGAGACCAGTTAAGAGTTTTTTCCTTTTATTTGCTCAAATATCTGTAAAACATACCAACGTGTTTCAGGGTCAAGACCCCTTTCTTCAGGTATGCAGTTAGCATACTATAAATACACACAAACACACACACACACACACACTTTGCCAGTTGTAGGACTGATCCTAAATCTGACAAACCCTGAATAAAAGGTGCATTTTATAACCCCATGTTGGAAATATCTGGAGATTTGAGCAAAAAAAAAAAAAAAAAAAAAAAAAAAAAGTTAAATGTCTATAAATTGCAACTGTAAACTGTACACCACGATCTTAAGGTCAATGTCTGGCCAATAGGGGGAATTGGCTTGGATGTCCTCATTGCACAGACTGGAGGAGGGAATTCTTTTTGGTGACAATCTACTGTACTCATTTTCAGTATAATACATACAAGGTGGTTTTCCTGCCTCTATTAGGAAGAATTTCCAAGCCTATTGAGCACATTGGAAGGTCTTACCTGCTTCTTTTAGATTGATTGCAGGCCCCTCATCTGCCAGAGAAAAAAAATCAGACAATTACTATACGAATTGTCAGAGGCTAATGTTACCAACATGGCCACCCTGTGCGTGACTCTTACCGCAAGGTTTGATGGCGCAGTAATCAAAGGGTGTTTTGGGGTCCTTGGTGTAACACCATGGGCCATGACTGTCACCATCTGGATTCCGACAGTAGTTTTCCTGTAGAGTCTCTCCAAAGCTGAACCTGGATGCAGTAAACAAAGTCTCAGAGTTCATCATATCAGATTTTACAAATCCATTATCTACATTAGAATCTGCATGTTATTAATCATGTTCCAAGGTGCTTCCAATATTCACACTCTGTAAATGTCTAGGCAAGGGATAGAAAGTCAGCAAATGGTGGACATACTGAATGTCATTGGCTTTCTCAATCCAGTTGCGGCACGGAAGCCCCTTCCTGGTCCTGCTGGCAGTTCCATCGTAGGTCTCCCCGTTCCATGATAGCAGCCTGTGTATAGAGATTAAATAACTCATTGAGGAGGAAAGATCTGCAACCATCAGATAAACTTGATGTTCAGACTGATCACAGCTCACGGTATGACAGAGAAGTTTCGTATTGTTAGACACTCAGCCCTGAAAACATCCTGGTCTAGATGTTTATATGATAAGGCAGATTACCAATTTTCTTTTTTTTTCCTCTAAATCTAAACCCAGGAGAACCTGGGAGACCCAACCAACAATTCGAATTGTCTAATCCCCCCCAAGCTCTCACCGGTGTCTGTGACATCATCAGGGCAACGTTTGATCTGGTAGCAGTAAGCGACTCTTATGTTGGGGTTGGTGGTGAAACACCATGGAGCTTCTGAACCATCAGGATTACGGCAGTAGTTCTCCTCCAGGCCTCTGCAAACAAGGAAGAGAAATGTATATCCAAGCAGAACATGTAAGAAATGGGCAACCCCAAAGACTATCACAATTGTATGGCCTTCTAAATCCATAGAAGGGCTCATCTTTGGTGCAGTGCTCCGTACGTGACCTGGTCTGGTGCAGTGCTCCGTACGTGACCTGGTCTGGTGCAGTGCTCCGTACCTGACCTGGTCCGGTACAATTCTCAGTATGTGAAGTAATCCAGTAAAATACTCAGTATTTGACCTGGTCCTCTGCGGCAATCTAGTACCTGACCTGGTCCTCTGCGGCAATCTAGTACCTGACCTGGTCCTCTGCGGCAATCTAGTACCTGACCTGGTCCTCTGCGGCAATCTAGTACCTGACCTGGTCCTCTGCGGCAATCTAGTACCTGACCTGGTCCTCTGCGGCAATCTAGTACCTGACCTGGTCCTCTGCGGCAATCTAGTACCTGACCTGGTCCTCTGCGGCAATCTAGTACCTGACCTGGTCCTCTGCGGCAATCTAGTACCTGACCTGGTCCTCTGCGGCAATCTAGTACCTGACCTGGTCCTCTGCGGCAATCTAGTACCTGACCTGGTCCTCTGCGGCAATCTAGTACCTGACCTGGTCCTCTGCGGCAATCTAGTACGTGACCTGGTCCGGTACAATTCTCAGTATGTGAAGTAATCCAGTAAAATACTCAGTATTTGACCTGGTCCTCTACGGCAATCCAGTGCATGACCTGGTCCTCTACGGCAATCCAGTGCATGACCTGGTCCTCTACGGCAATCCAGTGCATGACCTGGTCCTCTACGGCAATCCAGTGCATGACCTGGTCCTCTACGGCAATCCAGTGCATGACCTGGTCCTCTACGGCAATCCAGTGCATGACCTGGTCCTCTACGGCAATCCAGTGCATGACCTGGTCCTCTACGGCAATCCAGTGCATGACCTGGTCCTCTACGGCAATCCAGTGCATGACCTGGTCCTCTACGGCAATCCAGTGCATGACCTGGTCCTCTACGGCAATCCAGTGCATGACCTGGTCCTCTACGGCAATCCAGTGCATGACCTGGTCCTCTACGGCAATCCAGTGCATGACCTGGTCCTCTACGGCAATCCAGTGCATGACCTGGTCCTCTATGGCAATCCAGTGCATGACCTGGTCCGGTACAATTCTCAGTATGTGAAGTATTCCAGTAAAATACTCAGTATTTGATCTGGTCAAGTACAGTGCTCCATACGTGACCTGGACTGGTCCACCCATCAAGGGATGTATAGTACATCGGAACGTTTGTACTTGTATACGGTAGATACTCACTTGCAGGGGTATTTCTCCGGGTTGAAGCGGTGCTTGTGTGGGGTTTGGGAGTCCCAGTTCTGGCAGGGGATTCCAGAGGTCGTGGTGGAGGCCTTTCCCCGATAGCCCTCTCCTCTTCCCATGAAACAATTGCTGACTATTGTTAAATTCTGTTGCCGCTGCTTCTCTACTTAACGCAAGAGACAGGAGAGAAAAGACAAGACGACATCAACGTCTAAATTCATCGCTCTCCAACCTCTGATATAAAAATGTTCAAACAAGACACAAACAATTTTAAAGTAACAACTTATCTGTAGAAGAGACCAAAAATGTTCTAACATGAGACAGTTAGGTGATCAAACGTATAGAGCTGCCAAATTCCATCATTTGATGGGAATAGCACACAGGGCAACCTAGGAACACTAAAAACCAGAAGCTGAAAAGGAAGGAATCCCCCCCCCCCTTCCCCGCGAGTTTTAATTTTTCCAGAAAATTTTTGATATGTAGTTTAACTTCTAGGAATGATTGGTAACATTGTGTTTTTTCTATAATTATTTAATAAACAGATTGGTTTTCCTATGTTGGTCTATTCTCCTTGGTGGGATGAGTAATTTTGCTGACCTAGGCAGATTCCCGGTATCATGATGGAGGGAATTTACAGGGTTTTGGGTATGATGTAACAATTCAGGATGGTGAGTAATCCCTTTGTGAAATTTCTAAGGAAAAGTCCAATCTCAGTATTACATAAAGCAGTGATGGCGAACCTTTTTGAGCCCGAGTGCCCAAACTGCAACCCAAAACCAACTTATTTCTTTCAAAGTGCCAACACTGCAATGAAACCTGAATATCGAGCTTTTGGTTTAGAAAAAAAAAACGTACAGTAGTGCAAACTAATTAACAGTACAGGAGATGACCAGAGACTGCGGACACAGTACAGGAGATGACCAGAGACTGCGGACACAGTACAGGAGATGACCAGAGACTGCGGACACAGTACAGGAGATGACCAGAGACTGCGGACACAGTACAGGAGATGACCAGAGACTGCGGACACAGTACAGGAGATGACCAGAGACTGCGGACACAGTACAGGAGATGACCAGAGACTGCGGACACAGTACAGGAGATGACCAGAGACTGCGGACACAGTACAGGAGATGACCAGAGACTGCGGACACAGTACAGGAGATGACCAGAGACTGCGGACACAGTACAGGAGATGACCAGAGACTGCGGGACACAGTACAGGAGATGACCAGAGACTGCGGACACAGTACAGGAGATGACCAGAGACTGCGGACACAGTACAGGAGATGACCAGAGACTGCGGACACAGTACAGGAGATGACCAGAGACTGCGGACACAGTACAGGAGATGACCAGAGACTGCGGACACAGTACAGGAGATGACCAGAGACTGCGGACACAGTACAGGAGATGACCAGAGACTGCGGACACAGTACAGGAGATGACCAGAGACTGCGGACACAGTACAGGAGATGACCAGAGACTGCGGACACAGTACAGGAGATGACCAGAGACTGCGGACACAGTACAGGAGATGACCAGAGACTGCGGACACAGTACAGGAGATGACCAGAGACTGCGGACACAGTACAGGAGATGACCAGAGACTGCGGACACAGTACAGGAGATGACCAGAGACTGCGGACACAGTACAGGAGATGACCAGAGACTGCGGACACAGTACAGGAGATGACCAGAGACTGCGGACACAGTACAGGAGATGACCAGAGACTGCGGACACAGTACAGGGATGACCAGAGACTGCGGACAGTACAGGGGATGACCAGAGACTGCGGACAGTACAGGGGATGACCAGAGACTGCGGACAGCACAGGGATGACCAGAGACTGCGGACAGCACAGGGATGACCAGAGACTGCGGACAGTACAGATGACTGCTGACCTTTGGGGTCCGAGGGGGGAGCGGGTACCTGAATTTGACAGGTACCCGCTCTTACTTCCGCAGAGTTTTTTCTTTATCTTACCTGTTCCTTTATCCAGCCGCGCGCTGTCTTCCCGGCTTCTGTAGTGTGGGCGCTCGTCGGACAGCCGGATGCCCAGTGCGCATGCGCGAGAAGCGCTGCGCTTTGTGATTGGTCCGGCGGCTTCTGGGATCTGTCATGTGTCCCAGGTACCGCCTTACCATTCACAAAGAGCACTGCTTCTTGTGCATGCGCACTTGGGACCCGGCTGTCACGCACACTACAGCCGGGAAGACAGCGCGCCGCTGGATTCTCCTGGCGTGCCCACAGATAAGGCTCGGCGTGCCGGCTGTGGCACGCGTGCCACGGGTTCGCCATCACTGACATAAAGTTTCATGTCAGCATAAAGCAGTATTTCTCAACCTTTTTTTCCAGTGAAGGCACCCTTTAAAAAAATGATGCAAATTTCGAGGCACCCCTAAGTCCCCAGTCACATCGGGTGCGACTTGGCATGCGATCTGCATGATATGCGACTTGCATATCGCATGCCAAGTCACACCCTACTATCCGCAATTACATCAGTCATATCGGTGTGGTTCTGATTTGGTCGGCTTTGTATAGCAAGAGGAAGGCTTGCTTCACCCGCTGACTTGTACCCAATTTTTTAGGCTTTTAGTCAAAGTACCCCTGAAGAACTCAGAAGGCACCCTGGTTGAAAAAGGCTGGCTTAAAGCACAAAATTCAGATTTAAAACCATGACCCGATTCTGGCAATTAGAATGCGATTGGTCAATTTGAGTTATATTAGAAGTGTTACTAAATCCACAACAGTACAATCAGTCTGTAGATGCAGTAAAGCATGCTGGTTATACTCACTGTGGGACCTAAGGGGGTTAATACTCTGCATTGTGTAAAAAGGCTGTTTGATCCTGTCTTCTCTGCCCCTCCTCTTGTTCAGATGTCCACGCTGATAAGAAAGACTGAACCTGTAGCCCTTCTGCACATGCTCCGTTTAGTGTGTATTGCTAGAGAGGTTTTCTTTTTCTTGGGAAATGAATGCATGTGGGGTTTTGCTCAGCACAGGGCCAATCAGCACTGTTCAGACAGAGGTCAGGGGTTTTGCATTCTCCTACAGAAAGAAAACTCCTCCTACAAGCTTTAGCCAGTGCTCAGATGAAGTCACAAGACTGCTATATACTTCCGATTAGAAAAAGGTATTTAGCAGTTTATATTTACTAATATAAGTGCACTTCCATGTTCTGTGTACTGTGGGAGAGCGGATATAGCGAATGCGGGGTCCGGGGGGGTGGGCGGATATAGCGGATATAGCGAATGCGGGGTCCGGGGGGGGGGGGAAGCGGATTTAGCTAATGCGGGGTCCGGGGGGGAAAGCGGATTTAGCGAATGCGGGGTCCGGGGGGGGAAAGCGGATATAGCGAGTGCAGGGTCCGGGGGGGAAAGCGGATACAGCGAATGCGGAGTCCGGGGGGGGGGGGGGGGAGGGAAAGCGGATATAGCGAATGCGGGGTCCGGGGGGGGGGGGGGGGGGGGGGCGGAAAGCGGATATAGCGAATGCGGGGTCCGGGGGGGGGGAAAGCGGAAGCGGATATAGCGAATGCGGGGTCCGGGGGGGGGCGGAAGCGGATACATAGCGAATGCGGGGTCCGGGGGGGGAAGCGGATGTAGCGAATGCGGGGTCCGGGGGGGGGGGGGGGGGGGGGGGGGGAAAGGCGGATATAGCGAATGCGGGGTCCGGGGGGGGGGGGGGGGAAGCGGATATAGCAAATGCGGGGGTCCGGGGGGGGGGGGGGAAGGCGGATATAGCGAATGCGGGGGGGGGGCGGTCTGGGGGGGGGGGGGGGGGGGGGGGGGGGGAAGGCGGATATAGCGAATGCGGGGTCTGGGGGGGGGGGGGGGGGGGTCCGGGGAAGGCGGATATAGCGAATGCGGGGTCCGGGGGGGGGGGGGGAAGGCGGATATAGCGAATGCGGGCTCCGGGGAGAGCGGATATAGCAAATGCAGAGTCTGGGGAGACCAGATATACAGTACATCAGATATGTAGAGAAGAGTTATCATCATCATGTATTTATACAAAGTCAGCAATGTTACATACTGTCAACAGTCCCTGCCCCCAAGGAGCTTACAATCTAAGGTCCCTACCTCACATACGATGTCCAGTTTAGAGCCAGCCCCATGTCTTTGGAGTGTGAATGGAAACCAGAGTACCTGGAGTATCCCCACACAGGAACATAGGGAGAACATGCACACTCCATGCAGGTAATGTAGTGGTTGGGACTCCAACCAGAACCAGTGTTGCAAGGCAAAAGTGCAAGAGACGGAACAAGAACATAAAAAGTAATATTTCATAAATGTAACAATAGCTCAGAGATGGAATGAAAACATAAAAAAGTAACAAATACAGAAATGTACCAGAATGGGGTGCGCATCCGACACAGCCATACAACAACATGAAGGCAATGTGCTGCAGGGTTCCTGACACAGAGTATCAGACACATGGTCTGCAGCTGCACAGGGCTGGGGGGGGGGGGGGGGGGGGGGGGTCTCCAGGGACCCAGATAATTTGGGAAAGTTCGGACACACTGTAGTATTCTAAAACAGATAACCATTCTATTCTTTACAATGCTTTGGTATAGTGCAGGAGAGTTCATCATCAGCACAGACACCAAGGGGGGCATTTTTTAAATGATCAGATTATTTATTTTAAACCCCTCGCCTACCAGGCACTTATACCCCCTTCCTTACCAGGCCAATTTTCAGCTTTCAGCGCTGCCGCACTTTGATTGACAATGCGCGGTCATGCAACATTGTACCCATATGAAATTTTGATCATTTTTTCTCACAAATAGAGCTTTCTTTTGGTGGTATTTAATCGCCACTGGGCTCTTTACTTTTTGCGCTACAAATAATAAAAATTGCAAAAAATTTGAAAAAAAAAAAAAGTTTATTTGTTTCGGTTATAAAATTTTTCAAACAGGTATTTTTTCTCCTTCACTGATGTGCGTTGAGGCAGCACTGATGGGCACTGATAGGCGGCACTGATGGGCACCGATAGGCAGCACTAAAGGGCACTGATAGGCAGTACTAATGAGGTGGCACGGATAGGCGGCACTGATAGACAGCACTAATTAGGGGTCACGGATAGGCGGCACTGATATGCGGCACTGATAGGCGGCACTGATAGGCGACACTGATTATGGGTACTGATAGACGGCACTGACTGGCATCACTGCTGGGCACTGACTGGCGGCACTGACTGGCACAACCCCTGGGCACTGACTGGTGGCACTGGTGGGTGGCACTGGTGGGCAGCACTGGTGGGTGGGCACAGGTGGGTGGCACTGGTGGGCACAGGTGGGGGCACTGCTGGGCACAGGTGGGGGGCACTGCTGGGCACAGGTGGGGGCACTGCTGGGCACAGGTGGGGGCACTGCTGGGCGCACTGCTGGGCGGAACTTGCGGGTGTCACTGCTCACCGATCATCAGGGCACTGATCATCAGTGCCCTGATGATCGGTGCCGATCCCCGCTCCGACAACTGCCGGTTCTCGGCAGTACTTTCCTCACGATCTGACAGCGTGAGGAAAGTGCAGCCGAGAACCGGCACTTGCATTTCCCTGTGATCAGCGTGTCATTGGACACCGCTGATCACGTGGTAAAAGGCCGCTGTGGTTGGCCTTTTACCACATCACGTGATCAGCTGTGTCCGTAGGACACAGCGATCACGGAGATCGCCGGGTGCGCGCCCCCTGGGGCGCGCAGGAAAGCGCGTTCTGGGAGGACGTCATATGACGTCCACCCAGAACTGGCCGGCCGCGGTGAAGCCGTCATTCGGCTATGCGCGGTCGGCAAGAGGTTAAGGAGTGAAGACGCAATAGATCCTCCACACCCCTGCGCCAGCCAAACTTACTGCACTTTGTGATCTCGCAGTACTCCCGCTCCACTTTGGGGTCTGTAGTATAGCACCAGGGTCTCTCCGAACTGTCTGGATTGCGGCAATAATTATCATCCAGGTGTTTGTCAGGATACCTGCAGACGGGGAGAATGACATTCGATCACATGGAAAGACAGGGAAAAAAAAAAAAAAACAAAAAAAAAAACACCCCACCACTAAAATGGATAAGCAACAAAACAGATTCATAAAGCAATATTTACATCTTAGATAAAAGAAATACACAAAATCCAACAATTATATAAAAAAAAATATCCAAGAGAGCAACTAAAAAATATCCAAGAGAAGGAATGAGATCGCAAGAAAGTAACAAATGTAGCAATGATATAAAAAGAATATTCAGTAAACGGCTCAGAGATGGAATAAGAACTTAAAGTGTTCCTAAACCCCGGACCCCGCGCGCTCACTATACCCGCTCTCCCCGGACCCCGCGCTCACTACACCCGCTCTCCCCCCGGACCCCGCGCTCGCTATATACCACCGCTCTCCCCGTACCCCGCGCTCGCTATACCCGCTCTCCCCGGACCCCGCGCCGCGCTCACTAGATCCGCTCTCCCCGTACCCCGCGCTCACTATACCCGGTCTCCCCGGACCCCGCGCTCACTATACCCGCTCTCCCCCGGACCCCGCGCTCACTATACCCGCTCTCCCCGGACCCCGCGGACCCCGCACTCACTATATCCGCTCTCCCCGGACCCCGCACTCACTATATCTGATCTCCCACAGTACACAGAAAATGAAAAAAGCAATTATTTTAATAAATATAAACTGCTAAATCTCTTTTTTCCCCCCCATCAGCAGTATATAGCAGTCTTGTGACTTCCTTCAGTCCAGCGGAGCACTGATTAAAGCTTGTAGGAGTTTTCTTTCTGCTCTAGGAGGATGCAGAACCCCAGATCTGTCTGGACAGTGCCGATTGGCCCTGTGCTAATCACATGCACTCTCCCAAGAAAAAAAAAAAAAAAAAAACCTCTCTAGTAATGCACACTAAACTGAGCATGTGCAGAGTGACTCCACACAATATGTCTTATTAGGAGATGAGAGGGGGACACCAAGAAGGGGAGGATCAGAGAAGACAGGATCAAACAGCCTTTTTACACAATGCAGAGGATTAACCCCTTCGGTCCCACAGTGAGTATAACCAGCATGCTTTCCTGCATCTACAGACTGATTGTACTGTTGGGGGTTTAGTAACACTTTAAAAAAGTAACATTGTAACAGAATAGGGTGATAAGCCAACACCGCCATACACCTCTCATTACCGGCTCAGATTGGATGTATGCTGTTCTGTATGTTATCAAAAAATATAAAGTATTTGATAGAGTTCAGGGGCATCCATCATGGTTCTTACATGGTGCAGCAAAGGGTGGAAAAGTTTTAAAATTGACAAAAATGTCCCATAATCCTCCACAACTTACTTTTCTGGGTTATACGGATGAGAATGAGGACTCTGAAGGTCCCACCGCTGACATTCCTTCCCTGACTCGGTCCGGTCCAGCGAGCCGCGGTAATCTTCCCCATTACAGTTCAGACACACGGCTGTGGGGGGTAAAAAGATGGCGTCAGGTAGGAGCTCTCACAAAAGATTTGTGCGTGGCACAAACCATCATGTTTAGGAAAGAATTTTCTCTGACACCATTACTAAAACAATTTCCATCTGCCGATCCCCCCCACTTCTCTCCAAACCCCACCGGCTCCCCCCTTTCTCTCCACACCCCACCGGCTCCCCCCCTTCTCTCCACACCCCACCGGCTCCACCCCTTCTCTCCACACCCCACCGGCTCCCCCCCTTCTCTCCACACCCCACCGGCTCTCACCTTCTTCACACGTCTTGATTCCGCAGGATTGGAATCTCACATTCTTGTCGGTGGTGTAACACCAGGGGCCCTTGGCGTCCTTGTCCGGGTTCCGGCAGTAATTCTCATGCAGTCCATTTTGAGAATTGGGAAAGTATCTGCAAAAAAGTAAATCAAGGTCCAGTCAATAAACTTTATTAGATATATTAGGCTGGGTGGAAGAATTGCACACAGAGGGGAGGGGGGACGATTTATAGGGGAGGAGCTGCATGGAGAGGAAGGGAGAGGGGGGAGGGGAAAAAAGAAAAAAAGGAAGGGGGGGGGGGGGGTGAGCAGGGCAAAGGGACACAAAGAGGGGTAAGAAATACAGGGGGAAAGGGCCAGTAGGAGAGGGAGGCATTAAAAAGCTGCACACAGAGGTGAGGGGCAAAATATAGATGAAAGTGAGCCACAGAGGGGAAGGGTGAAGTATATAGGAGGACTAGCCACACATAGGAAGGGAAAAAAAAAAAGTTTCATACTAAAGGGAGGGGCTAGATATCTATGAGGGAGGAGCCAAAAAAGAGGGGAGGGACTATACACGCAAAGAAGTGGGCTAGATATAGATAGCCGCACACGGAGGGGAGGAGTGAGATATACAGAAGGAGGAGCCACACAAAAGGGGAGGGAGAAGAGGCGCAAAGAAGCTGCACATTGAGATGAGGGGTGAGAACCACAGCAGAGTATGACCTCTCCATTCACGGGACTGGAACCATCACTCACTTGTGGTCATGCGGGAATTTTTGTCTCCAGTGTTGGCAGGTTTTCCCTTTCACAGTGTGGGAGGTCATTCCACGATAGGTCGTCCCATCCCCCACCACACATTCCCGAACATAATCTGGAGAAATGAGAAAAAAAAAAAAAGGAAAAAAAAAACCAAAAAAAAAAAAAAAAACAGTGTATATAGCTCTAAATAGAGTCACAACTGAATATAACCCATAGTATAAATGTTACTAGAAGACCGTCAGAAATGGGTCATAAAACCTTACAGCATCTAGGAACTACCTCTCCTAAAGTTAGAAAGGTAGGGGACTCTAAAAGTAGGCAAGCGGCAACCGCTCCCCATGACAAGAGGCAAGCGGCACCCGCTCCCCATGACAAGAGGCAAGCGGCACCCGCTCCCCCATGACAAGAGGCAAGCGGCACCCCCTGGACAAGAGGCAAGCGGCACCCGCTCCCCATGACAAGAGGCAAGCGGCACCCGCTCCCCATGACAAGAGGCAAGCGGCACCCGCTCCCCATGACAAGAGGCAAGCGGCACCCGCTCCCCATGACAAGAGGCAAGCGGCACCCGCTCCCCATGACAAGAGGCAAGCGGCACCCGCTCCCCATGACAAGAGGCAAGCGGCACCCGCTCCCCATGACAAGAAGCAAGCGGCACCCGCTCCCCATGACAAGAGGCAAGCGGCACCCGCTCCCCATGACAAGAGGCAAGCGGCATCCGCTCCCCATGACAAGAGGCAAGCGGCACCCGCTCCCCATGACAAGAAGCAAGCGGCACCCTCCCACAAGGAGGTAAGCCACACCCGCTCCCCATCACAAGACGTAAGCGACACTCTCTACCCATCACAGGAGTAAGTTACCCTTTTTCTGGTAGACATCATAGATGACATTCTTGGTCATGGTGACGAGGGGGGAATTCTGTGTCCACGGCAGCAGGCGGCAGCTGAGGGTCTTCAGGTTGTAGTCAAAGGACCTGCAATATGAGGGAAACAGATTAGGATGATATATCAGAGACAGTTTGGGGTCTTCCTCCAGGAAACATCTGGGTGACTGCTAATGGTGCCATCAAGGTCTGCTGCTGAGTGATGGTGTCACCCCATGTCTCACCCACATGCACCCCTCTGTTCCAAATACTGACTGAATGAGGGTACAGCAGGAACCTACCTGCACCTATCACCCACTTCCCAAACATTGACAGAATGGGGGGGGGGGCAGTGAACTCAGTACCCCTTTCCGATACATGAACAGAATAGGAGTACAAACAGCCACCTACCCACACCGAGCATCCCCTTCCTATACCTTGACAGACTAGGTGGTACCAGCAGGCACCTACCTGCACACTAACATCGTGGGGGGTGCAGAAGTCATCTACCCCCTCCAAGAACCGCCTGGGAGGTACAGTGAGCACCTATCACCACCCAGCACCACTCTCTAATACAATAAAAGAATGGGGGTTCAGCAGGCACCTACACGACTTCCTATACATCTATAAAATGGGGTACAGTGAGCACCTACCTGCAGTCCAGCAGATCAGAACATTTCTTGGCACACACGTGGACATCTCCTCTGATCTCCTCCTTCACGTTTTCCTCGCTCTGGTGTGCCAGCTCGGTGGCTTTCGATCGCTGGTAGTCATTGAGTGGGCTGCGCTGAGCTGTGGGACAGACGCAGAAAACTTCGGTTGAGAAGATGCGAGGGACAAAATACCCAAACCAAACGTTCTAGAACCGTTCTAGAACAACCCCCAGGTTCTTAATGCATTAGAGAAGAAGTAGATGCAATGAGGCTGCAGAGGATCAGCAACACTTAGATTGATTACGGGATAGAAAAAAAAAAAAAAACCAGTGAAAACAAGGAAGAATAATAAATAATACTGATTGTTTATGATACAGAGAAAACTAAATTTTGGTTTGCCTTCCTCTACGTACCTGTGACCACCAGGGAGATGGTGAGCAGAGCGCAGAGTCCAGTCAGCATGTTGGCTGCTCGCTGTTTGGGATCCGATCGTCTGGCAGCAGAAGTTGAATATACACAGCCTCCTCTCCCCAAATATTTATCCAGATAACAGGTTAACCTGATAATGTGCCAAAAGGTGTCAGCAAACCAGCTGGTGATGGGATAATAAAAAAAAAAATAAAAAAATTATAAAATAAATAATAATAAAAAAAAAAAATATATATATATATATATATATATATACATATATACACATATATACACATATATATATATACATATATATATATATATACACACACACACACAGTAGGGGATCGAAAGTTTGGGCACCCCAGCTAAAAATTTGTATTAATGTGCATAAAGAAGACAAGGAAAGATGGAAAAATCTCCAAAAGGCATCAGATTAGACATTCTTATAATATGTCAACAAAAGTTAGATTTTATTTCCATCATTTACACTTTCAAAATAACAGAAAACAAAAAAATGGCGTCTGCAAAAGTTTGGGCACCCTGCAGAATTTATAACATGCACTGCCCCCTTTGCCAAGCTGAGACCTGCCAGTGTCATGGATTGTTCTCAATCATCATCTGGGAAGACCAGCTAATGTCAATCTCAAAGGTTTTAAATGCCCAGACTCATCTGACCTTTCCCCAACAATCAGCACCATGGGTTCTTCTAAGCAGTTGTCTAGAAAACTGAAACTGAAAATAGTTGACGCTCACAAAGCTGGAGAAGGCTATAAGAAGATAGCAAAGCGTTTTCAGATGTCAATATATCTCTGTTCGGAATGTAATTAAGAAATGGCAGTCATCAGGAACAGTGGAAGTTAAAGCAAGATCTGGAAGACCAAGAAAAATATCAGACAGAACAGCTCGCAGGATTGTGAGAAAAACAAATTCAAAACCCACGTTTGACTGCACGATCCCTCCAGAAAGATCTGGCAGACACTGGAGTTGTGGTACACTATTCCACTATAAAGAGATACTTGTACAAATATGGTCTTCATGGAAGAGTCATCAGAAGAAAACCTCTTCTACATCCTCACCACAAAAATCATCGTTTGAACTTTGCAAATGAACATATAGACAAGCCTGATGCATTTTGGAAACAAGTTCTGTGGACCGATGAGGTTAAAATTGAACTTTTTGGCCGGAATGAGCAAAGGTACGTTTGCAGAAGAAGGGGCACAGAATTTAATGAAAAGAACCTCTGTCCAACTGTTAAGCATGGGGTTGGATCAATCATGCTTTGGGGTTGTGTTGCAGCCAGTGGCACAGGGAACATCTCACGAGTAGAAGGAAAAATGGATTCAATAAAATTTCAGCAAATTTTGGATGGTAACTTGATGCCATCTGTGAAAAAGTTGAAGTTAAAGAGAGGATGGCTTCTACAAATGGATAATGATCCTAAACACACCTCGAAATCCACGGGGGATTACATCAAGAGGCGTAAACTGAAGGTTTTGCCATGGCCTTCACAATCTCCTGACCTCAACATCATTGAAAATCTATGGCTAGACCTTAAAAGAGCCAGTGCGTGACAGACAGCCCAGAAATCTCAAAGAACTGGAAGACTTTTGTAAGGAAGAATGGGCAAAGATACCTCAAACAGGAATTGAAAGACTCTTGGCTGGCTACAAAAAGCGTTTACAAGCTGTGATACTTGCCAAAGGGGGCAGTACAAGATATTAACTCTGCAGGGGGCCCAAACTTTTGCAGACGCCATTTTTTTGTTTTCTGTTATTTTGAAAGTGTAAATGATGGAAATAAAATCTAACTTTTGTTGACATATTATAAGAATGTCGAATCTGTAATTTGATGCCTTTTGGAGATTTTTCCATCTTTCCTTGGCTTCTTTATGCACATTAATACAAATTTTTAGCTGGGGTGCCCAAACGTTCGATCCCCACTGTACACACACACATACACACACACTGAGATAAATGAGAGATATTATACTGTGTTATTTTGGCTTTGTATATATATATATATATATATATATATATATATATATATATATATATATATATAAAAATTAGATTTATATAATAATTTTTTTTCTTAAACAAAAAGCCAAAAATCACAGTGTAATCCAACGTGACAGGCCGGGCTCGCCAGCTAGGTACACGCCAGCGTCCCCTTACCCCCGCCTGGCCAGGAAATGGTGACATAACTGGTTAATGTCCAACCTGATGGCCTCAGGCCATGCGGGATGGGGGGGCCCCCTGGGGGAAAAGGACAACAAGGTGTCTTGTGCGGTGGGAGAGGTGACACCCCTCAGCACCAGGACAAGACCATTACCAGAGAATGATGTCACATCTCCCAGCAACGCTGGGGGTTGTAGTCCAGCTAGAGGACAATGGATCAGGGCAGCGCCTGCGGTCGGGTGGTTAAAAATGGATGTCAACACAAGGCTATTCTGGTAACAAGACTTGTGACCCAATTCTGATCGGGGACCAGAGACAAACAAATCATTCCGGTCACAGGCTGACAGGCAGCCAAAAAAAAACAAAACAAAAAAAACAAAACACCACAAAAACAAAATACAAAAACAACAAAATACAAAAAAAAAAAAAAAAAAAAAAACAAGTCTAGGTGTAAATTTTGGGACATTCCAAAAAGTGCATCAAACAGGTTATATAGAAACAAGGCTCACGTATTCATTACTTTTGTGCCGCATTATAGCGCATACGGTAACTGCAGGAAAAAGTGACTGCAGAGCTCAATCTCAGTCCCGCAAAAAATCATCACTTGCACACCTGCAAATCATGTATGGATTCCATTTTTTTTTGTCCACCCCCTGAATGTGTGCATTTCTCCTATAGTGGTTATCGAATTCAAGTGATCAAACAGCGACAATATTATTCTAGAAGTTCACATGACAGAAGATCAGCTGGACAGATTATGTTCAATATGCAAGAACAAAAAAAAAAAAAAAAATAAGTAACATATTACTATAAAAATAATATACAAATAGCTTTCTAAACCTATACATAAATTACAAAAAAAAGGGGGTCATTCATAAAAAGTTGGGTGCTGGGAAAGTATGCTGGATATTCAATAATCAAAGGGAATGCTACTCACCTCCGTCGCTGGAACACGTGTAAGACCGCGACGCGATAATGTGAACCTAGCCGGACCAGAAAGGCAGTTCCCGTGTATAAACTGTATACACACCGTGCAGATGTCACATGTGCTGCGTCACCCACATGTCCAGATAACGGCCGCAGACCAGAACAGACCGGACGGGTAGATCAGCAACACATTGTGCAATTATGGAAAGCACAACCTGACTACAGCCCTGACCAAATCCGCCGGGAAGATGGAGGACACATCTGTAGAACATCTGCTGCTGGATGGACTACAATAGTGCTGGTCAACTTACTATATATAGGGAGCTACACGTGTGGCCCCTGACATCACCAAAGGGGCCACACAATATTCAATGAAGGCAACGCCACAGGGGACGGTCAGAGACCGCAGACGCACGGTACAGGGGACGGTCAGAGACCGCAGATGCACGGTACAGGGGACGGTCAGAGACCGCAGACGCACGGTACAGGGGACGGTCAGAGACCGCAGACGCACGGTACAGGGGACGGTCAGAGACCGCAGACATGGTACAGTCACAGACCGCAGACGCACGCCACGGGGGACCGTTGCAGACCGCAGACACAATACGGGGGAACGGTCACAGACCGCAGACACGCTACGGGGGGGACGCCCGAAGACGCAATACGGGGGGACGGTCACGGACCGCAGACGCGGTACGGGGGGGGGACGGTCGCAGACGGCAGACACGCGATGGGGGACGGTCGCAGACCGCAGACACGATACGGGGGGCGGTCGCAGACCGCAGACACGATACGGGGGGCGGTCGCAGACCGCAGACACGCGATGGGGGGCGGTCGCAGACCGCAGACACGCGATGGGGGGCGGTCGCAGACCGCAGACACGCGATGGGGGGCGGTCGCAGACCGCAGACACGCGATGGGGGGCGGTCGCAGACCGCAGACACGCGATGGGGGGCGGTCGCAGACCGCAGACACGCGATGGGGGGCGGTCGCAGACCGCAGACACGCGATGGGGGGCGGTCGCAGACCGCAGACACAATACGGGGGACGGTCGCAGACCGCAGACACAATACGGGGGACGGTCGCAGACACGCGATGGGGGACGGTCGCAGACCGCAGACACAATACGGGGGATGGTCGCAGACCGCAGACACAATACGGGGGACGGTCGCAGACACGCGATGGGGGACGGTCGCAGACCGCAGACACAATACGGGGGACGGTCACAGACACGCGATGGGGGGACGGTCGCAGACACGATATAGGAGATGCTGTAGATCAGGCACATGGGTCAGGACACATTCCAGGACTCTCAGAGATCACATCTCCTCTACTAGTCCATGGTCCTCCATGGTCCCCCCTAGAAATACTTTGCTACTTTGTATCAGTTTAGGTTTCCTCCCTCAGATCCATCAGAATACAGAGAGATCACATACAGAGATGGCAGAAAAGTCCAATAACCCGGAACCCTGGAATCCAATGCAAGGAATGAGCTCAGAGATCGGGCCCCGGCCCTCCGATCTGCCCATGTGTGGCCCCCATACCTCCTCTCCGCCTCTCGCTGTTCCGGAGACAATGAAGGATTTGGGTTGTTTGTATCGCTCCAGCTGGTCGGGGGAGGAGCCGAGGATCTCCAGCTGTGTCCGGCGGGTCAGGTGACCTGGGGGCAGCCGGAGAGGAAAAGGTTAAATCCGGAGGGGGTCGGCCAATGACAACACAGGGATCAATAATCAGCATGCACCTTTCTGTGACTAATAGGTGTGTACACCCCTCCCCCCCCCCTTATCAATTCTGTGACTTCTCCCCCCCAGGAATTAATCATCAGTTTGTGCACCCCCCTAATCAATCCTAATCAATATTCAGTGGGCAACCCAATCAGTCCTCAGTACACCCCCAATAAAGAATCTGTGCACCCCCATCGATCCATAATGCATCCCCCAATCA